GATGGTCAAGAGCAGCTTGAATTTACAAACAAAAAAAAAAAACAAAAAAAAAGCATCTTGTTTCCTGTGCGACGGTTTCCGTTACCATGTAACGGTAACATATTAACGTGGCGCACGTGGTCAAGACTGGTCAAAGATGCCAGTTGATTGATTTGCAACCAACAGATTTCCCGTGTCACGGGAATTTGTTCCGCGTGACGGGGATACCTGTCGTGTCATGGGAATCTTGCTCCGTGACACTATGGTCCCGCGCGTGTCCTGCACGTCCCTTGAAGCTGTCAGCGAATATTCCTGGCATTTTGACTAAAATTGCGCAATTTTCCGTACAAATTGGACAGTTAGTAAATTACGCAGAAAATTTTAACTGACGTTAAAGGGTATCAAAATTACTATTTTTCTCCTAGGAAGCGTCAAAGTCAATTTTGTCGATATTTTAAACACCTAATATGGTCGGATAGTCGACTTGAAGGTGTGAATCATCTGTGGCCCACGTTGGGGGATAATCGAACCATCATACACTTACAGTAGTTGTCGGCTTTCCTCAAGCATGGAAAGCGTTATCGGTGGATTTTTCTTCAAGTATAGAAAACCGCCCAGTCGGCTTTCCTCAATCATGGAAAGCGTTATTGGTGGATTTTTCTTCAAGTATAGAAAACCGCCAAATTCCTTTGTTGGCTTTCCTCAAGCATGGAAAGCATTATCGGTAGATTTCTTCAAGCATAGAATGACACCAAATTCATACTTCGACTTTCCTCAGGCATGGAAAGTATCATCCTATAGGTTTCTTCGGACTTAAAAAGCTACCAAATTCCTCAGTCGTCTTTCCTCAGGCATGGAAAGCGTTTCAACAAAACGTCATCCTGTGGATTTCTTCAAGCATAGGAAGTTGCCAAACTCATTTGTCACCGATACACTGGCGTCAGATACGTATTCTATCTTTTTACTCTTTTATCTGTGGAATTAACATTTTTCTGCAGGTATCGGCATATACAGAGTGATTTAGGATCACAGAACGTCTTAAATCATTCTTCGTCCCTATCGACTACTTTGACTATCGTTTTCGAAACTGGCGTTTCTACAAACTCAGTCAAAGTGGGGGCTTCTGTAGACACCTAAAAATGTCTCCCCAAAACCAAACCCGATGATGAACAACTTTTCACCGCCACTGTTGGTCGGGTTTAGTATGTAATCTCGAGAGTGCTTTAAAAATCGTATTTAATTAAATTCATTTTTTTAATAGTACATGGATCGGTCTTGATGTTTAGTCAAAGCATAGTTTTTAATTTTAGCCCAAACCTTTTTTATTTTATTGTTTTATTATTTATTTTGGCCCAAACTTTTTATTTTATTTTCCTTATTTTAGCCCAAATAATAATAAAAATAGAAATGGCCCGAAATTATCAATCGGCACTTAAAATGCTGAATGAAATAAGGGTTAAAAATGCATTTAGACGGGAAAACGGACTAAAAATTCCCGCGTCACGGCAATAGTCCAACGTGTCATGGGAAACAGTCCCGTCTGACGGTGGGATTTCCCGTGACACGGGGGAAATCTGCTGTGACACGGGAGTTTCCGTGTCCGTTCCGCGTAAACCCTTCACGCGTTTTATTCCCCGTACCCTAAAATATTTCCCGCGTCACACAACTGTTCACCGCGTCACGGGAATTTATCCTGTCTGACGGTGGGAATTCCCTTGTCACGGTACACAGTGCCGTATCGCGGGATACTTTTTTAGGGTTTTTATCATTTTAGGGTTCCTTGTGTTCCCTCAGCACATTTTTTCTATAAATACCCCCTCATTTCTAATGTACGGGGCATTAATTAATTCTCTATTTTTTCCCTCTCTTCTATGCTCTAGCCTAAACACTAGCCTACCCTTTTTCTTTCAAATTCCTTCTTCAAGCACTCCAAGGAGTCCGTACTTTACTCGTGGTTCTGTCCTTAAACCAAGGCGTGAAAGGTAGAATTGTTTGAGGGTTTGGCCCCAAATCGACTCTACTTTATTTAATTTAATTTAATTATTGTTCTATTATTATTTCCTTGAAGTTACTAACTCGTTTATTATTTTGTAGTTGCAAGCAAACAGAATCAAAGTAAGAATTATGTTCCTTTTATTTCTATTATTTTTCTAACGATTTTATATTTTTGGAATTATTGTTAAATTGCTTCCAATATTAATGTTTGTTCTATTGTTATTACGATCACTATATTGCATGTTTAAAGGGAATATGTAATTGAAAATCACGCCTAATAAGATAATTTGGACTACCGGTTTAGGTTCCTTTTTAATCTTGTTGCTTAATTCAAGGGATCACAAATATTTTAGAATTATGTGTTGCATTAATATTCAACCAATCTAGCTAAATAATAGTTTGAAGCAAATTGAATATTTTGTTTGTATGTCTTTGAGATCGCAGGAATCACTTTTCAATATAAGAATCGAGTAGAGGTCAATACGGGCGAATGTGACTCCATGACTCACTTCGTACCATCATCCCCGATCCTCCTTTCGTGGTTCCGAACCATATGGAGTTAGTAATCTCATGGATTATGAATGGGGTGTAACCTTCACGGGTCAATCGTTGTTGCCTTCGTTGTCCGTTATTCGTGGTTGCCTTTTTATGATCCGTGAACGGTTTACAAGTTCCTTAAAAAACTTGTTGGCGGCTCCCTACTTTATTTGTCCCTAATCGTTTTATGTCAATTCTCACTTTCTAAGAGTTCCAAGCATATTCACAACATGTTTTAACGTAAGGGCACTTCGAGCGACGCCTACCTGGCCAATTCTGCTAATTCCTACACTAATATTAAGACTCTTTAGTCTATCCATGTGCCAATTCAGTGGAAAAATTCCTCCTTATTTAGGTAGTCTGCCAAGTATACATGTGTTTGTTATATTTTACAAACTATAGTTTATTAGGCTTTTGTACTAAGTTTTGTAGCTAATTATTTTTGTTTTCATTCTTGTAGGTAAAAAGGAGATTGCAAAGCACAAGATATACTAATTTTTTATTATTATTATATTACATAAAATGTATTATTTTTATTTTTCTTTAGAAGAAGGATTAGAGGCCATGACAATTTTTAACCCTGTTTTTGTGCGTGTATGTGAATAATGATCAGTCATATTAAATTCAAATATTTTTGTATGTATTAATATTAATCATCAATTTGAAATTCTATTTCTCCATATTTATTATGTATCATAATTTATATATTGGTGTCAAAAATATACCAAATGTGAAAAATATCATTTAAAATTTTTAGCCACGTGCTAATCAAGCCACGAGCCCACGACAAAGATCATCGATAGTAAATTTTGTGGCCACGTTAAAAATTCTTGACAAACAACTTGTTTAGCCATGATAGTATTAGTGACAACGGATGTTATTAGTCAGAATAGATTTTGTGGCATACAAGCACATTAACAACGATAGTATTTGTGGCTACACTGGTTATTAGCCACAGTATAATTTATTGAAAATTAGTTGTTAGCCTCATTGATATACGTGGAAAAAGAATTTGTTGGTCACGTGAATACCCGTGGCATAAAATTCAAAATTTGCCTCAACATACTTTTTCCCGTAGCGAATTTCTTGCCACGACCTCTTGTGCCTCGGGATTAAATTTAGAATTCCCGTGGCTAAACTGCAAAGCCACAAGAATTATAAACTTGTGTCACGATTTTTCTCGTGGAACAAAGATCAATTTGTTGTAGTGATTATAGTATGTCACACACTCGAGAAAATAATCAATCAAAGCTAATTAAATATTTGAAGCAAGAAAGTTTTTTTTTCCTTTTTGGTTCGAACCACACGCACAAGAGGGAGGAAGGATGGATGTCGCCGCCTTCCACTGGCTGTTGTTTCTGACGAGTGCTGGTGGTGGTCAGTCGGTGGTGGTGGTAGTCGGCCACCCTTCGATGGTGTGTGTCTGTGTTGTGCAAGGTGGGTAAAGGGAGGGGAAATTTTAAGGGGAAAGAAAATAAGAGGAGAGAGAAAGAGAGTTTACCATTGGGTACTCTCTAGCATGAGCGCAAAGTCTAATTTGTTCAAAAGGTGGGTATTTATACTCTCTCTCAAAACCCTCTTAATTAAATTTCCCTTTTCACCCTTAATGATTCTCATTCCCATTCAACTTGGTATTTTGACATTAATAAAATCCTTTTGACTAAAAAACTCTTTTATAAATCCAAAGTTTCCCAAAATTTCTAAATTGAAGAAATAAAATATTTCTAAAACCAAATAAATAAATAAAAAATGAGATTTTAATTAAAATAAAATTTTAAATTATTAAAATACCATAAATAATTCATTTCGAATTATTTAAATTCGTTGTATGATAATTCTTTAAATTAAAATATACATATAAAAATATGGGGTATTACATCGCCGACCGTGGGTGGAGGGGGGCTGGTTTTCTGTCGATTTTTTTTTCATGAATTAAAATCTTATTTTAAAAGATTTAAAAACATTTTCTAAAATCATTGAAATATAGAGACGGACTTGTTTTTGTGACCATGACAATGCCACCTCAATGGGCCCACTTTTCCCTTATGGTGATCAATCTTGCTAGAATTATATCAAACATCTTTCATTTTATTAACTCTCAAGCATAAAAGCATATAGATACACTCCCTCCGTTTTTATTTAAGTGCCCCAATTTGAGTTTGACACTGCATCACTTTGACTATTGATTGTGCTTTATACGTAAGATAAAATGTAATTATTGAGTACTTGCTAGAATCGTCTCCAAACATAGTTTCTAGTTACCAACTTTTTATAATTTATACTTGTTGATAATTAAAGATATTTTTGTCAAAGTTGTACATTAACGTCAGTCAAAATGGGACATTTAAATAACAAAGAGTGGGGGATAGCTCAGGTGGTTAAACAACATCTAGCAAAGTTGTTAAACTATAACAACAACGCACACCTAACTGTAACATCTAATAGAGAGTGAGGGAAAGCTCAAGTGATTAGTACTTCCCTCTAAGAAATCATATGATCAATTCTCTATCACCTGTCTTTTCAGAAATCCCTTATGATACACCAAATTCAACTCAAAACAACCCCTCCCCAACCAAAAAAAAAAAGGAAATTGAAAAGATATTAGTAGATTGCTACCTCAAACAAGGCAACCATGAACTATCAGTTAACATCTTTGGCATTCACAATTAAATCTATATAAAGTGTGCCTCAAAATGAAGGTCCAAAGGAATTGAGCATTTAAAAAGCTCTAAAATGTTGGATTGATATAATTGCACTTATTTGCTTTACAGATTCTATACAGTTTAATCAGTTTCACAGATGTATCGAAAGAGAGCAATGGATGGCAATCTACAGCAGCACGCCTGGTCTAGCAGAGCCCAGTATCTTCACTGTTATGAAGCCTTGCATAGGAACCACAGATAGTTGATTTGGAATCACCCAATAATTATTCTAGAGTGCTCATTGCTCCTTGAACAATTCACGACCGATGATCATTCTCCTTATCTCACTGGTTCCTGCCCCTATTTCATATAATTTTGCATCCCGAAGAAAACGCCCTGTTGGATACTCATTCACGTAACCATTACCTCCAAGACATTGTATGGCCTGCAAAATGCAATAAGGCGTTCAATTACAGTAAATTTATCTGATATGGCTCATGAAGTATTAACCTTAAAAAAAAAATGTTAAAATTAATGTGAAACTTTATCATGGAATGTCCCATGTATAAGCACCAGTAAGATTTTTTAACTAGCAAATATTTCTGTCCTCCATTCCATTTATTAAATTCACATCTCAAGCTTCCCTTATGGAAACTAATACCAAGTCTCGATAGTAGTCACACCTTTTTTCAAAAAACAATTACACAAGTCCTTGTTCTCCTCGTTAAAGTACCAACTCAACCAAAAGCTTAAGTTATGGTTGAAGCCAGGATCGATTATATACTCTATCACGCCCCCTCACATGAGAGCCCTTCGGGCTTGAAATGTGGATGCGGCATGGGAACTTGAAAGTGGGGGTGGATGAGACTTAAACCCGTGACCTTTGTGTCACGTTGGTTCTTGATACCATGTTAAAGGGTCAACTCAACCAAAAGCTTTAACTAATTGTTAAAGCCCAAGATCGAATATATATACTCTATCAATATTGAGTTCAACTTGGTCAGGTGACAAGTGTTATGATTAAAGCAGTCACAAATTTGACCCAACATAACGTGACTAATTAGCTAATTGACTCAATATGATATAAATGAGCATGACCCTCAGCTATTTTGTTATGCACATAGAAAGAAAGGAACATAGAAAAGAAGGCCAAGGAAACAAATCAGTGAAATAAGCAATACTATGTCCTTCAGCTAATTTGAAGAGCACATAGTAAGAAAGGAACTTGCAAATACTAAGGGCTTATCTTGTTCATGTCAAGAAATAAATATCGTTTTTTGTTGCTTAAATATAGTTAGAGTCAATAGTTTACTTAGAGACTCACTTCTTAGTTCATAAATCATGGATAAAATCATAAGTGATTTCACTAGCTTAAAGCTTTGTCACAATCCATTATTTATCAAACAGACTAATAATCATAATCTTCCCAGAGGATAAAAAAATCTATACTTGCTAGGACTAAAAAGGTACGAGGCAAAGTTCTTAGAAATAAGGAAGAAAAATATATTTGTTTATGAAGACTTATTACTAATAACAAACATTAAATATAAATAAAAATATTTTGGGTAAAAGAGCATTTTCAACGAGCTAATTAAGCTAAATCCACCTTTTATAAAAAAACTAAATATGGAGCTTTTTAGACTAGGTGATTAAGAAGTTTGAGAAATTCTTGTAGAATGACATTTTTTTTTTCCTAAACTTGTTATAATCTACATCCCTACCTGCCCAAATACCAATTTCTTTGTTTGTTATTTCATATGCTCTAGTAAGAAAATTCCAAAGTTAATGCTAATTTTACCAAACAATTTATGGTAAACAGCCAATTAAGCTAGTCAAAACATCTAATAAACTAATACAACTGGGTAGTCAAATCAGCAAATGCAACCAGTTCATGGCAAATTACGAAACAAAGCTTTGGCCCACTTATGGGAAATTAAAATGTAATGTGATGGGAGTCATTTAAACCCATGCCTTGGATCAAGAAAATAAAGCATAGAAAGTGTAAGCAATATAGTTTTGAGATTTTTTTTTTTTTTTTTTTACCTAAATCCCTTGCCCCCATGATTCTTAAATTTTTTGCGACCATTTTATTTATGGAATAAATAATACTTCCTCTGTTTTTTAGTTGACAAGTTACTTTTTTTTAAAAAAACAAAAAAGAAAAGAAAGTTATTTTTAGTTACATGTTTCTCTTTTTGATAAGTTTCTTAATGTATGATTCCTATTTTACCCTTACGTAACCAATTTAGATTGGTTTATAGTTTGGTGGGTGAGGGGTATTTATATCTTTAACATATTTGACATACCTTAATGGCTTAGAATGAGTGCCTAAATGAAGTGTGTCAACTAATAATAAACAAAGGAGGTGCAGCATAAATTATTACACGGGCCAGGTTCTGATTTATGTGACCAAAAATATAGGCACATTTTAATATAACCATTATGTCCCCAGCCAATCTTTCAATTGGCAAGAAGGTAATTTTTATACCAATTTGGCTAATTGGCCACAAAATGAAGATTAAGTTAATGTGCAAACAATCAAAATGACACCTAGATGTCCAAAATACAAATACACAAAAGAGCTTTATACCTGCAGTGCAACTTGTGTACCCCTTTCAGCAGCACAGAGAATAACTCCAGCACAGTCCTGCAAGCATTTTAGAAGAAGGGTGAGGAGGCTTGTCACGTGCTTGACTAATTAAGCAAACTGAGAAATTTATAGGTAAGCAAGAAATTGAAAAGAATTAATAGGTGGTGGCAGATGCAGGATGACAAAGAAACAGACATTAAGAAACAGACATTATCAGTGGTCATCGCTTGTAGAAGAAACCAATTGATAGACATGTAGCAGAATAATGACTTGGCATGCCATTGCATGTAAAAGAAAAAGATTCATAAGATGCCTCTGCAACTTCATAGGCATATCTAGAGGCTAGGAAGATGCACTCCTCAACTCCCATAGCATCAAAGCATTCATGTGACAAATCTTACCGCCAGACCGCCAGTGAATATGTTTTAATCAAATTAATTACTAAAGTGTATCATATTTGAAAAAAGATATCACTGTCAGAAAATTATCATGGAAAATGGGGGCAAAAATGTTCTCCGGAAAATCCTTTCAATCTCAATCTATGCATAGATATCCCAACACCAAGGAAACAGCCATAGAACATTCAGATTAGCTGAAAAAATAAGGAAAGCAGAGTAATCACAAAATTTCTAATTCAGCATTTCAGTCTCTCAAAGGCATTAATGCTAGCATTTCAAATTAAAATACTTTTCGATAATTTTTGTCATCTTCTAATGCAAATTGTTAAAAACTACTTTCTGGGGCAGTATAAGAAACTTAGGGGTGTCAAATTTACCAGATTTTTGTACATGGAACCTACCAAAATTATACTTTTCTGTCCCAATATCTGTTACATTTTTAAACCATAGTTGCATAATAGTTTCGATCAACGAAATGAGCCCTTAATTCTTTCATTCACATTTCACAATGATGTCTTTGTATTTTGTACCTATTATTTACTCCCTCCAACCCACCCATAATATAGTGTTGTATTCCATTTTTGGTGTCCCACACTGTTGTGCCTGTTTCTAAAATTTCTATTATTATATCAAATAGTTTTATTATAATACACCAACTTCTTTACCTTTCTCATACAGCCCAACACTTAGCAAGGTTTTTGCGCCAATATTTACTTTTTATACCTTCCTGTATAAAATAACCCTAAATCCCAATATTCATCAAATGTCGTTATTTACCTTTTTTTATTTGTACCTATCCCTATATAATTACAACCTTTACTACATTATTCACCAAAGAGTCCATAAATCAGCACAGTGGTAGACAGTTAGACATGCATAAAATCCTCCTTCAATTCCTGATTAAGGGATGTTATCAGGCTCCCAATAAAGAGGACAAACATAGACTGATGATTATAGTTTCAAATCTTTCAATGAGACATTGAATTGAGTAACAGAAACAAATTGAGAGAGCAGTAAGGTGGACTAACATTAGAAAACAAATCAAGATGCACTATAGATTAACACACCTTTGGGTCAACTTTTCCACCGTCACAGTCTCGTGCAACTGAGTACACATATGACCTGTACAAGGTGCGAGAACAATCAAATTAATTTCTTAAAGACTCTTTCCGCTGTTCATGCAGATGATAAAATCATCAATTTGCTTACAAATTTACCTTGATGATTGCAAGGAAGTATACATGTCAGCAACCTTCCCCTGCATCAGCAAACTAACTGTATTATTTCATTTGCAAGGCTTTCGAGCTGGAAGTTCTAGATCTATCAGAAATTGTCTGAAGGTTTAAGAATGCAAAAAATATACCTGAATGAACTGAAATTCACCGATTGGACGCCCAAACTGTTCCCTCTGCCGAACATAAGGAAGAACAACATCAAGGCAAGCTTGCATAATACCAAGAGGTCCAGCTGACAAAACAAGCCTCTCCAAGTCCAGCCCTGACATCATAACATATACCCCTGGATAAAAGATCAGAGAGCTGTGTTAGCCAGCATGCATGAAAACCTGGGGGCAGAGCTAGGGACATCGAGTCAAACTAAGAAAACTTTTGACTTTATTTTGTTACTAATATAAATACAAAAATTGTTACGTAAGATCTTGTTAAATTTGCTTTAATGTGTGGTATCTAAATATCAACTTTCCATAGTGTGCAATCATATATAATGTAAGATATAATTAGTCAAACATGTGCATTGTAGACTGCAAATTGTGTAAGTGAGAACGCGCACACACACGCGCGTCCAAAAAAAAAAAACAGAAGAGTACTGTATTTTGTGAACCATATATATTGAGGATATATTTCCAAGATACTCACAATACTTGATAGCATTTATATATGGTTATTATGTATATCTTTTGATTGTTTCCTAATTACTAGGTTATCAAGATAAGGTAACTCTACGGTTAGTTTGTAACCTATATATTCTGTTTTGATTGTTCAATGAGAATTAAGCCGAGTTCATAAGTTTCTACATGGTATCGGAGCCAAAACTGGGTTCCTAAATTTTTTTTTTCCTTCACAGTAAACAATGACGGGGGATGACACACCACCACCGCCACCTCCGAAAATCGAAATTAATTCCCCTTTTTACCTTGGTCCACATGATAGGCCGGTTGATTTCATCGCATCACAACACCTAAAGCTTGATAATTTCAATGATTGGTCTCACACAGTTAGAATTGCATTATCGTCTCGCCGGAAGTTTGGGTTTCTTGATAGTAGTATCGTGAGTTTTGCGCCTCCATGTACAGAGGATGATTGGACTACCATCCATTGTATGTTAGTCTCTTGGTTAATGAACACCATAGATCCAAAAGTTAAATCGATGCTCTCTCATTATGATGATGCTAAGAAGTTATGGGATGATTTACATGAACACTTTAGCCTCGTCAATGGTCCGCGTATTCAACAAATCAAGTCCGATATTAGTCGTTGTGAGCAAACTAAAGCAATGTCTGTTGCAGTGCATTATAGCAAGCTTTCGGTTCTATGGGATGAGCTTGATAAACACGAGCCTCTAATTTATTGCAAGTGTGGGAAGTGTACCTGTAATGTAGGACAACAGCATGCCGATCGACGCGATGGAGATCGATTGCAACAATTTTACTTGGTTTATATGCTGAGTATTATGCTCCTTTACGTTCCACTCTTTGTCTCAAGACCCTTTGCCTACATTAAATAGGGCGTATCAACAAATTTCTCAAGAGGAGCGTGTTAGGGGCTTTTCTCGAAACAAAGATGAAACTCCTTCTTCCTCGGCGCTAGGCTTTGCTGCTCAAGCCAATGCAGGGAGAGGTCGTGGAGGGGGAGAGAGGCCAGTGTGTGAGAAGTGCAAGAAGATCGGCCACGAAATTTCAAAGTGTTGGGCGGACAAGACTTGCAATCACTGTAAAAAGAAGGGTCATGAGGAAAGCAGGTGCTATGATCTTCATGGCTGGCGTGATAGTTCGGTTGGGCGTGGTAGAGGGTCGGTGAGAGCTAATGTTGTTCTTGGCTCGGGTTCACATGATGCATCCAGTTCCTCTTCGGGGAAATTGTTTTCTAGTGAACAATGGAAAGCTATTACGGGTATGATGGGTAATGCCACTATTTTTGAAAATCGTTTGAATGGAAAGTTTGATGACACCTCTAGGAACCGAAGCTACTCATCACGTTACAAGAGATATTTCTTGGCTTTTTGACACCAAAAGTTTTGAATATCCCGCAGGTTTGCCGAATGGTGAAATTGTTTTGACTTCTCTTGTTGGTTCTGTGCATTTGGCGGACAAGATTACTCTAAACGAGGTGTTCTATGTCCCTAATTTGAATTGCAACTTACTTTCAGTTACTCAACTTTACGATGAGCTTAATTGTTTTGTCCAATTTAACTCAACTATGTGTGCTATACAGGACCAAACAAAGGAGGTGATTGGAACGGGAGCTAGGAGGGACGGATTGTACTATTTTAGCAAATTGGATCTGGTGCATCGAGTTGGAGCAATTGACACAAGGAATAATTTGGAGTTATGGCATTGTCGTATGGGTCATCCTTTCGAGAAAGTAGTTAAGTTGCTTCTTACAGTTAGTAGTAAAGATAGTTTAGATAAGGGATGTAAAGTATGTATGCGTGCTAAACATGCTAGAGATAAATTTCCTTAGAATTTTTGAAAAAGTTCATTGTGATTTGTGGGTCCCGTATCAACATGTTTTGGCATGCAAAGCTCGGTATTTTTTGACAGTCGTTGATGATTATTCTAGAGTTGTTTGGGTTTATTTGTTGAATGATAAAACTGAGGTGTTTCGTATGTTTTTATCGTTTGTTGCTATGGTAGAATGACAATATTCCCCAAATATTAAAATTGTGCAAAGTGATAATGGTACTGAGTTTAATTGCTTGCATGATTTTTTTTTCCAACCACCGGCAATATTTTTCAAACCTCGTGTGTAGAGGTAAAATTTTGGTATTCGATTTAGATTTTGACCCAAACCAAATCCAAACCGAATTATTTCGGTTTCGAATTTTCCAAACCGAATCCGCACCGAACTAGATTTGAAACCGAACCAATCCAAACCGCAATTTAGAAATCTAATTCGGTTTCAAACCGAAAGCCGAATTTATGTGGTGTTTTTTTAGATTGTTGAAAAAAGTTAATTAAAAACAAAAAAAAAAATTAAAAAAAAAAAAGCCAAATTTATAATTTATAGATATCTACAAACAGATTAGCAAAAATAGAAGTAATACAACTATGATTAATTGATTATCAATAAATTATATGAATTACACCACTAAAATCTACAAGAATACTACGATTTCGGTACTACAATGGTATAACCCCAGAAAAGCCATTGCAACAACTTCGTATGAATCCCGTCGAAATATGAAACTATGAGAGAGGAGATGTTTTTAGAGAGGAAGACATTAACCATTGTTGTAGAGATGAACCGACTCCATATTTTTCATAAGTTACCAAAATTACCAACATGCAACAACACCAACACTCTTACTTTTTCTTTATTTTTCTTTCAACTTTTGACCCCTTCCACTGATTAATCAATGATGATGATGGTAATTCCAATATTTTTTACTCAGAAGTTAAATTTTTTGAGAGTTAAGAGAAGGGGGCGTGAAAGAGAGATAAAGAACAGAGAAGAGATGAAGGAGAGAGAAGGGAGGCGTGAAATAGAAGAGAGAAATGAACATTAGGGTTTTTTTATACTTTATATATAAAAGGTATGGGCTTATGTACAAAGTTAATAATGGACCAATATTTCGGTTCCAATTTCGATTTTCGGTTTTTGGAAGGCCAAAACCGAAATCCACTTCTTCTTTTTTTCAAACCGAAACCAAACCGAATAGGGAAAAAACCGAACCGAATAGTTAATTCGGTTTGGTTTTTGGTTTTTATCCATATCACTTTCATAGTCGTGTGTAGGCGCTCCTCGACAAAACGAGAGGGTTGAGAGAAAACACAAACACATTTTCAGTGTGGCTAGTGCTTTGAGATTTCAAGCAAAATTACCCATTTATTTTTGGAGTGCATCCTTGTCGCGGCTCACCTAATCAATAGAACTCCTACCACTTTACTCCAAAACAAAACTCCATTCGAAATTATTTTTAATAAACCTCCTATGTTTGATGCAATTAGGACGTTTGGATGTTTGTGCTTTTCTCATAATCAGAAAACGAATGGGGATAAATTTGCAAGTAGAAATAGTAAGTGTGTTTTTGTCAAGTACTCTTTTGGGAAGAAAGATAGGAGATTATATGACCTTGAGTCGAAGGTGTTTTTTGTTTCTCGGGATGTTAAATTTGTTGAGGATATATTTCCTTTTGTTTCCCCGGATGTCGCTCGTCAATATTGCTGCTCACTATGTTACTCGGACACGGCAATTTTGCCGTCATATCCGGGTTGATACGACCCGACACGGATCCGAGTATGAAATCCGTTCCGGACATGCCACTTGGCTCTCGGGTACAACATTGTTGTCTTCAAAAGACTTTCATGGAAAAGATCCGTAGAAAAAACCCATAATTTAAGCTCCTGTATACTTTTCCGACGTGGTTGTCTGGCTTTTCCATGGAAGTCGAGCAGTTTTTAGGCTTTTGGCCATATAAAAAGTTTATTATTTTATATAAAAGGAGTAGGTTGGATACAGCTGTATTATTTTAACTTTAACCTCTTGACCTGAACTCACCACTTCTTTAACCATACAAATTGTTTCTCACAATCTATCCCACGTGACCCACCCTTTTCCTATTTTTTTTTTTTAATTTTTTTTTTTTTACTGTCTTTTCATTACTGCTCACATACTATATTATTACTACGGAGTACTGGCTACTCCATACTACTCTACAGTCTACACACGGTAAAAGGTTTATAATTTTGTTTTAATTATTAATATGGGCATATTAATTATTTATATCTAAAAAATTTATTGTCGTATGCCCGTATCCGTACCCGAGTCCAAAGTTAAGACGGTGTCCCTGTGTCCTTGACATATCGAACACTTTGATCCGTACCAATATCGGATACCAGTGTCAATGTAACATAAGCTGCTAATACTTATGGTTCGGATTGGGATGTTCATGATGATTTTATTGAGTATGAATTGTGGGAAGAAAGTGGTGATTCTTTTGAAGTTAATGGTGGGGAGGGTATCACAGAGCGGGCTGCTCGAACTCCCCACGCAACACCAGCGGGCGCTGGCAAGGAAGAACATCAGCCCCTGGTCTGGGGTGGCTGACGACCAGCCCATGGCGTCTGGTACAACCACTGGAATTCCAGAGGCTCGAGGCTCCTGGCGAAGAAGCTAGCGACAATGGCAACACCTTGGTTGATACTCAACAAAGTTCCATGGAATTAATGGGTCGTGGACATCGTGAGAAGTTTCCTTCCGTTAAATTACATGATTTTGTGACTCATTCAGTGTTTGCTAAAATCCGTCTCCCCCTACTCAGTCTTCCACATCCACACCTCCTTCATGTACTCCTTATCCTTTAGCACATTATATAAATTGTGACAATTTTTCTTGCAGCAATAGTAAGTGGAAAAGACCTAAAATCATTCAAAGAAGCTATGAAGTGTGAAGGTTGGCATAAGTCAATGCAAGAGGAAATACTGCTTTAGAGGACAATGGGACTCGGACTCCAGAGCGTCTTCCTCCGGAAAAAAGGCACTAGGGAGTCAATGGGTGTACAAGACAAAATTTTTGTCTAATGGTGACGTTGAGCTTCTCAAGTCACACTAGAATCATCAGCAGGAAGATGCTGATTATAGTGAAACATTTGCTCCAGTAGCCAAGATGACTGCAGTTCGGGCGTTCCTTGCTATTGCGACCTTTAAAAATTGGGAGCTTCATCATATGGATGTTCATAATGCCTTTTTGCACGGTAATCTTAGTGAGGAGGTATATATGAAATTGCCTCCCGGCTTTGAAAGTTCGGATTCTACTCTGGGTTGTCGTTTGAGAAAATCGTTGTATGGCTTGAAGAAACAAGCTATGCGATGTTGGTTTGCCAAGTTAAATTGTTGCTCTAAAATGGTACGGCTTCAAACAGTCTTACTCTGATTGAGTCTGCTTTGCACATTGCAAAGAATCCTGTTTTCATGAACGAACGAAACATATTGAGATTAATTGTCACTTCATTCGAGATGCAATTACCAAAGGCTTAATTTCTCCATCACATGTGTCTACTTCTTCTCAATTAGCAGATATTTTCACAAAGGCTCTTCAGAAGAAGCAGTTTGATCATCTTCAATCCAAGTTGGGGATCTATGACTCTCGTACGCCAACTTGATGGGGGGTATTGAGGATATATTTCCAAGATACTCACAATATTTGGTAGCGTTTATATATGGTTATTATGTATATCTTTTGATTTTTTCCTAATTACTAGGTTACCAAGATAAGGTAACTCTTAGGTTAGTTTGTAACCTATATATTTTATTTTGATTGTTCAATGAGAATTAAGCCGAGTTCATAAGTTTCTACAATATATTGTGGTAACTTGATGTGTGTGCATTTATTTTATGCAATGTGTGTTGTATGTTGTGTGTTTATTGGCACGTCTTCTTTTAGTGGCCCCATGACAATCCACTTGGATTTTTTTCCTTCTGATGAAATTCTATAATAGTGTCTAAGTATTTGATTAGAAAACACATAAGTGGCCTAGAAGTTTGATTTTGAACTTTATAAAAGTAGCCGAGGAGTCAAATTCTTTTTTGATGCAATGTATTAATCACTTTGTGACATTATTATGGTTAACATTCTTATTTTGGCCATTTCAAAATAATGGTTACACTTTGCTTATTCTAATTTAAGATACATGACCCAACTTATTTAATAGAATCTCACCCAACATTTATCCCACTTACAATATTACACTTGACCTAACTTTAGTTCTTCATTTCTTACAATACACTTTACCTATATCTTGTTATTGGACTTTTCCTAATAAATTCCATTTTTCTTCTTTTCTGAGAACATTCCATTTTTTCCATTCATCTCTCCTACTTTCCAATTTTTCTTTGTTTTTGTAAGAAGATCAAGGGTAACCATTGTAGTGAAACGGAAGGAGTACTTTTTAACTTTATAAAGTTTATACACACTTTCATAGGCTTTTTAAAAAGACTTGAGCTGCTCACAACTATGTGAAAAGTAAGAAAACTGCATACACCCTATTTTACAGAACCATAATGCAAAGAGCATCAAACTAACCTTTTCCTTCCTCCCCGAGAACATTTTCCTGAGGCACAAAGCAGTTCTCAAAAACAAGTTCACACCTGCAAGGTATTTAGCAATCCAACACTAAAGTATCAGCACCTCAATACACACGAGATTGAATCATGAGTTTTCAGAAAGTTCACAGAACACATACGTGTCGCTTCCTCGCATTCCCAGTTTGTCCAGTTTTTGGGCTGTGCTAAATCTGCAGTTCATGTAAAAGGGAGAATATATAAATAAACCTCTGGAATAAATGAGACCAAAAATTGTACAATTTAGAAGACTCTATTACCCAGAGCTAGATATATTTCATATTATCTTAATTATCTTGGTGTTTGGCGACATTCTTTAATGCATGCTCAATTACAAAGACTATAGTGGCAGCTAATCCCTCCCCCCAAACACCCATTTTACGTTTACTTGATTTGACTTTCACATTGGCCATCACACAACTTTGAGGTCATAAATATCTTAATTGTCTCTCAAAAAGAATCTAACATAATCCCACATCACTCTTCTTTCTTATATAAATCACAATAGATGGTCAAAGGGTGTGTGATTGTGTGTGTCAAAATGAATAGTGAGTATACCAAAATACCAAATAGAAGTAGATGTACTCCCTCCGTATTTTAGTACTTGCTCCACTTTCCTTTTGCGGCTGTATTTTATTACTTGTTAAATTTCCTTTTTTGAAAACTTTGAACAATATTATACTATTTTTCTCCCCACTAGTGGTCTTCTCATATCATATTTTAATATTTTTCATATTCTATCTCATCCCCACTTATACACACTTTTGTTTTTCATAATTTTTTATTCTTCAACCAACCCCACTTCATATTTTGTACTATTCCTCCTAAAAGTCCGTGTCCGGAGAGAGTAGTTATAAGCAATTAGAAATGGGGAATGGAAAAGATGTTTTTATCAATAGTCACCTCACCAAAGCATGTCAACTTGATCAATGAGATAAATTAAGATAAGGATAATTCAGGTAATAATCTAGCGGTTTCGAATTTAAAGTGACAAGGCAACTAACCTAATGAGCAATAAGATTATAGATGCATCATATATCAATTGGAATTTAAAAATAATAATAAAAAACACTCTCTTTGAAGCATCTGCTGTAATTGCAAGTAAGAGAACGAGGAGACTGGATTAATGCAAAATACAGTCAGATTTTTTTTATGACATCAAGAAAGCAACGGGAACAATTGCCGACTAAAAAATATTTAATTGCAATTTAGTACCCAGGCATTCCCTTTTCGATGATGAATGCTGTAATTCCTTTGGAGTGTTTGGCCATGTCTGTTTTTGCATAGACTACCTGCTCCAACAAGATATCTCATTATCAAAAAAAAAATATGGGGGGAAAAAAAATCAAAGATGAGGCATGAATTTTCAATTATAGGACAAAATGGCTAACATATAAGTCTAGGTCCCCACACAAATTGCCTTCTCGTCTCATTTCTTTTATAGTTTTGGAGGGATTTGTTGGCTTAGTTACACATGTTTGCCAGAGTAAGAAAAAAACAAATCTACAGAAGCTTTTTTTAATTATATGAACTATACCTATTAGCAAAATATAATTCATATGCCATGTAAAAGTAACACTTGCCGTAGTGCAGCTTCAAAAATGTGTTGATTATATCACTTACACAGCATTTCTATTTCAGATACCATCAGTATCCCTAATTCAGTCTCAGCTTTAAAATATGACAAAAATCTTCAGGTCATAGTAGTTGATGACCAGGCCAAGTAGCCAATAATATTATAATTACACAACGCTTTATCAGATCATTTATACGATAACTTAAAAAGATTTGGTTATAAAAAGGAAAAGCAGACATTATCTCACACTATATCGTCTCTTTGTTACATAAAAATATGAGACAGACACAAAATGTTTTTCTGACCAACATTCTAGATACATACTTACAGGCATAATAACTAAATGTACACCTAAAAATGTCTCCCTGACCAAAACTCAATAATAATGAGTAAAGTCTTTCATCACCATTTAGTTTGGATAGAGTGTTGAAATAAAGGAGTACTATATTTTGATCATAAATCCAGTCCATTTCACCTTTCTAGGCCACATTTATTTCTGTGTTAAACCCAAACCATTTATTTTAATTCTTTCTTTTTATTTTTAAGCCCAATTCAATAATTATTCAATTTACACTCGTACAAAACTGGCTAAACAAACTATCCACATCTTAACACGCAAGGAATAAAATAATAATATCCCAGATTTCGCGTTCTTTGGTGCGACACGCCAGATTTATCACGTCATGTTAGCTGCTGATGTGGCGCGACAGTAGTTTTGTTAGGAATGTGTGGAGAAAAGATCTAAGTATAGCATGATGAATATACTAGCTTGCATGTGAAGAGTAGGCATGTAGGTGTAGGAGTAGTTGCTGCGCAAATAACAAGGTTGCATACTTACAGCCAGATCGCAGGAACTCAAGGTGAGCTGAGCTTTGCTCTGTGCGCGACAAAATGTGGCTGACCTGCAGCACACACGCAGAATTCCTTGCGAGGATTCGAACACTGGCTAAACCGAGCTCCTGCGCGCACAGAACCATTTTCCAGCCAGCAGCCCACTCGCAAGAATACTTGCAGTAGATCACAGGCAGCAGGAAGGTCCCCTGCGAGCGCAGCCCGAGAGCAGCCAGGTTGCAGAATGTGGGTATTGGGATTGCTCTGTTTTGCGGCTGCTAGCAATCATTGGGCACGTGGCTTCTTCTCATGCATTAGGTCTTATTTATTACCCTAGACTATATGTATATGGTTTTGCCTCATTATTTTGAGGTATTCACAAAATATTAAACACAAGTGAGGGTTTAAAAGCGGTTTTGTGAGAGGCATTTAAATATCACACTTTTCATGCTTGTAATCATATTTCATTCATCATCTAATATTACTCTATAGTGCAAGGTGGGTTTTTTCTCCCGCTTTTTGGGTTTTCCCACAGCAACATCGTCTCCTTTATCTTTGCTTTAATCTTTCATACTTGTTCTTGGTTGATTGCTTGCTTGTTCATTGTGATTGTGGGTTGATTGCAAATGTTGTTGGCACTCTAAATCCTACCAAGTTTTGTTCAGGCACCAAATTTTCTATCTTTTTCCGATTTTTTTCTTATAAATACCGTAGCCTTTTGAGGATTACGGGCACCATTCTCTGCATACATTCTCTCTAATACTCTAGTTTCTTAATCTTTTATCTCTCTAATGATCCACAATTCCTCCATGAAGTGCTCCTAGACATCTATACTATACCCGAATTTCTATCGGTGGTCCATGGCGTGAAAGGTTGATCATAAACATGCGGGTTCAATCTAAACTTAATTCGATTTAACTTAATTTGATTTAATTTAGTTTAGTTTGATTTATATAGTGTATTGAAGTAAACTAACGATTTATTCATCATTTGTTAGCACAACTTTTAATGACTTATGAAATGATAAGATTCTCTCTCCTATTACATCTTTAACTCTATCAGAGCATTATTTCTTTGTTGAATACAACTAAATCTATGTGATTAATCAAGATTTAATCAAATATGTGAGATAGAGATTGACTGTTCTCTTCAAATTTAGTGATTGTTGAGATGAGTTTTATCCTCTCTGCTATATTTTATTTCCTTGTCTTTCTTCCAAAACCTAGAATTGCATCTTGTAAGGTGAAAAAATTGTATGAACTTTTCGTTCAGGAACAATTTTTCAATGAAAATAACCAGATACATGTAATGAATTACTCTACATTCAACTTATAATCCCGAAATTTACATTCCTGAAATTTGGTAAATGAATTATTATAGCATGTATGTGGCTCAATAAATTAAATAAGAAATTCAGCTCTAATGCGTAACAATTGACACAAAAATACAAATTTAAAAAATGAGCATGTGTGCGGCATGTGCATTAAAAGACACGTGTGAGCACGCTCACACAAAAACAGACATCATTGAGTAAATGGAAAATTGCACTTGATGTTGCATGAGTTGATGAAATAAATGTGCTCACCAGGGTTTGAGCAGTTGGGCCATTTGTGCACCACATTTTGTTCCCATTTAGCACATAGCCACCATCAACACGATCAGCTCTGCACTTCATACCAACAACATCTGAACCAGCTGCAAAAGGATAACATGGAGGAGAGATAAAACTGCATCCGAGTATCTGACTACCATGATGATAACTGAAAAGCATTCCCATCACTCAGGAAAGGAAGGAAAGAGTTCATAAATTATACCATTTGGTTCACTCATTGCCAAAGCTCCAACATGCTCCCCACTGATAAGCTTCAGATGCAGCAAACGTTTAATTTATCAGAACATAGATCCAAGAATAAGACCCTCAGACATTCACATAAACATGAACTAGGTGCAAATCTAATTAGTAATATTTGCGGTTTAGATAGTAGGTTAGGAGAGGTCCCCTATTCCCCTAATCTATCAATAATTGGGCACCAGCTTGGGTGATCCAAGCAGGGAAAATTATCCAAAGTGCATATTAATGACACTCTCACAACCAAAGACATTAACATGCAACTGCATACTGCTTTGACACAGGATCAGTTTCCCCTCCTCCTCCTCTCCCAAAGTCCCAACCTCCATCGACCTTGTCATTTGGCTAAGACAAGCTAATTAAAACATGATGAAGCCACACCTCACATGATTTTGCACATACAAAGTCAAACGCCACTTACACAGTTACACTTCAAAACCTCAGAAACACATGGGTGCATATTAACCTAACATTTCCTTAACGTACTCTGTACTCTCAAGTGGCGAGCAAGCATATGTGTTAATCAATGAAAAAAAAAAATTCAGAACCATAATTTTGATGGTTAAGAATTTCAGATTATAGCTATCAGCAAGTGTAAGCACGTTGATGATAAAAGGCACAACTTAAAAGTGTCATACCTTTGGTAAGTATTTCTTTTTCTGGTCAGGATTCCCATTCCTTGCCTGAAAACAAAACACTTTCCTGACAAAGCAACATAGAAAAGAGAAAGTATACTATTTAAACTCTTGTCTTGGTCTTACCAACTGATTTATACAAAGATTAGAGTGGGCTCCATATGACAGGCCAACTGAACCAGAAGCACGACTGATTTCTTCCATTGCAATACAGTGGTAGAGATATCCAAGGCCAAGTCCACCATATTCCTCTACAAAATAAATAAATGCATAAAAATTTATGGTCATCCCTATCAATATCATGAAAGAGATTAGAGTGACATTAATTCACAATTAAAATTGCTTCAAACAAGCCAATTACAAGAATGGTCAAGAACTTCTATTTAAGAAATGAATTAATAAGTTTTACTAATTAGTTTTATAATAGTTGTTACATTTAGGGAATGAAAGATCATTACTGTGATGTTCCTACCATTATTGCTACTATAGACCAATAGATAATTTAGTTATATACCATGTATAAATGCTTTACTTTATTGCTAACATAAATCTGATAGTTATTGTAAGACAGCTTGACTACTATTATAGGACAGAAAGAGTAAGAAGGTTGAGCCTACATATTATATGCAATAGCATGGAGAACTCTTTGGAAAGTAAAGCACAGTGCAAAGATTAGAAGGTCAGGAAACCAGCAATAATATTGACAGTAATTATGATAGTTGAGCTGGTTGATGCAAAGGCATATAACAAAAAAGGACATGAGATAGACATACATCTTATTTCTGGTTCCTGACACAAGCTGCCAAACTTTATCTCTCTATTTGCAAAGAGGTTGACTCCCTTGGACCAGGACTTATAACTTATATGAAATTAGATTAAAAGTTCACTTATTTCATGTCTAATAAGTTCAGCTCAAATCTAATAAGATAAGATAAATTTTATGAGTTCAGTTCACATAACGTAAGATAAGGGCTAATAATTTCTGATAAGATTTTGTTAGATTTCAGCTATTTGTGAATTAGAAGTTCCTCATCAATGTGGGGTGTTGGATACAATGATATCCGTGTTAATGAAGATTGTATTTTTATTTTTATGTATGTAGTATTGCGGTATGATATAAGATATGAACACCTTTTCGCATATTATATATGTGGTAGTCATGGGCATAGAATAGGGAGTGCAAAGTGCTCCCTAGCACAGGGCCCCGATTATTAAAGGGCCTATATTTTTTTTCAATTCTTACTCAATTTTTTTTAATACTACAACTCTCAAGAGCCTCCTTATTTGTAATGCACAACATACTCCCTCTATTAATCCAAGTTCCCATATTAATTTCTAACACTTTTCATATTCTTCTATCAATTCAAATTAGTATTTTCACAATTACATCAATTCCATTCCATGAAATTATAATGTATATTTCTACATTCCAGAATTTTCGACGTAAAAAAGTTAATTTCAGCCAAATTAAAAATAAACGATTCGTAATCCGTAACAACGGCAAAACATTTCATTTCATAATTATTCTTATCAAGTTGCTAAATATCTTCCCAATATATAATGGTTATCTAATTGTGTATGGCGTAAATAATAGGTTAAAAATTAAAATTTTGTATGTTTTTAAATTATTAAGGGCCCATTTTTTCATTTTAGAACAAGGCCCCCAAAATTATTGCAACGGCCTTGGTGGTAGTTATTTATTTGGATGATTGTAATCATTCATCGTTATTTTAAATGATCGTATCATTTCATTATACTTGCACCTTTTCATATAGATTGTGTTTCTATTTTGGCATTCTTACAAGTTAACTTCCCTTAGTACAAGCTACAATTGCTTCCCATACTGCTCTACAAAATCCTAAGCTCTGCATTAATAGTATTATATGACACATCAAAAGTTCACAACTACAATCAAACCATGGTTAGAGATAGATAAGAAAACAAAAGGTGCTAGAAAACAGGGACATTGCAGCCATATAGGAATTTAAAAAGGTTCAGGTAAATTATGTGAAGAATGAATGACATGAATGCAAATATTACACAGCCCCATACAAAAATTTGAAGCACAACACAAGCTTTCTTGGCATCAAAATATAGTATTGGGACAAGGAAAAAAGATTAATGCTCGTGCTTGGAGCAAGAGACCCACGAGCAGTCAAGCACTAGTGTCAGCACAGTTCAATTGAAAGCCTTCCAGTGTGACATGATAATGAGCAAAAACATATGGACCACATTAAACTGACGTAGAAATTAATATGATCACAACTATCGTTGTTGCATCTCACTCCTCGCAGAGTTTATATAAATGTCATCCACCGACCAACAGTTATCCTTAAACTTATGTACTTAAATCGTGGCATGTATTGACAAAGAAAAACTTCCACTTGAGTGTTGTGATTCAAGTATTTTAAAATATGTTTTCAGCACCTTGGATGGCTTTTGCATTTGCTGCGATTTAAAACTAGTCCAGAGATCTCATGTGAGTGACTATTTACGATACCAATACATGTTACTATTACTAATCCTTGATAGATGGCTCAATCGTCTATAAATAAGAGTACTACCTCCGTTTCATATTATTTGCAACGATTTGACATAAAGTGTGAGTAGTAAGTCTAATAGTTGCGAATAATATTAAATGGAGGTAGTATATCTTGAGTCATAATGTATGTAGCATGAAAGTCAAAATACAGATCATATAATCATAATTAATTGAAATTCATTTAATATGACTAAATTAGCTCATCATCGGTAATCTCATCATGTAAACCCAAACTGAGGGTCTAATTGTTTTAGTTTATATGTCATCGATAGTACTCTTTAGTTTTTCTAATTATACTGTCAAAACACTTTAGTAAACAAGTATATCTAGAATCAACGTTCGACACAATCAAAATTTTTCAAACTCTTTTAAATCAACATAAATCACAAACAAAAAAGATAATAATAAATAAATAAACCTGGTGCCGTAATTCCGTGAAGTTTAAATTCTCCCATGAGATTCCATAGATTCACATCCTACCAGAAAAAAAAATCAGTAATACGGAGCATTATTAGTACATCCTCTATTTTTCATTATAATTGCAACAATTTGGCTTTTATACCATTCACGTAATAATCTGACCAAATATGTATACTTAGGGCATGTTCTCATTGACTGAACTGAACTGAATTGAATATTTTATAAGAGAAGGAAATTAGGAGCTGAACTAAACTGAGATGAGATGAGATGAACTGAATTTCAACGTAAGAGAACAGGTCCTTAATACAAATGTTGTTATATAAATTGTTGTTAAATTAATTTATACATATGTGAAGTATATAAATGTTGTTATATAAATTGTTGTTAAATTAATTTATACATATGTGAAGTATATAAATGATGTTATATAAATTGTTGTTAAATTAATTTATACATATATGAAGTATAATTTTTTAATATTAACCGTCAAAATTGTGTATCGGTAAACATAATAATCAAATTGATGCACTTACAAGAAAACGATGAATTGTTAAAAAAAAATAAATAAATAAATAAATAAATAAATAAAATATCAAAACCAAAAACATTCGTTTGGCGTCAGTGTGGTTTTCTTTTTTTTTTTAAATCATACTTCCTCAGTTTTTAAATACTTGCTCCACTTTCCATTTGGAACCGTTTTTAAATACTTGCTCTATTTCATTATTTCTATTTCATTATTTGAAAATCTATTACAATATTTAATTCATTTTCACATTTTCTCTCCTCCAATTCTCTCAATTAATTTTGTTTTTTACAATTTTTATTCTTCCATATATCCCACTACCTCCATATTTTATTACAAACTCTAATTACTCCTAAAATTCCGCGCATGGAAATGGAGCAAGTATTTAAAAACGGAGGGAGTCGACTTTTAGCACTATTCATCACTCTTATTTGACCATAAATTATGATTTATCCATTAAGCAAAACATAGTCACGTGGCATCTAGTTTGGTTAGATTCGTCCATCAAAATAATTTCACAATATCAATTTTTTTATAATTTTTACTCTTCTACAATAATAGATATATAATATATAATGTTTTTGGGATGCGTAATTTTACCCAATTTTAATAGAACCAAGAAAGTATAATATATAATGAATGAATAAATAATTAATCAAACTTATTAAAATCATGATAATTTTAAAAAGTGAAAACAACATTTCTTGTTTCCTATTTTTGGTGTTTTTTTTTTTAAGAAGTTTTTTTGTTTAAAAAAAACAGCAAACTGAAACAAAAAATGATGTCAAACAAAAATAGAAAAATCAACTCGGAAATAATGGAGACATACCTTAGGAAAGTAACTGGTTTTATCAATTTTCTCTGCATGAGGAGCAATTTTTTCTTGAGCAAATTGGGCAACACTTTCCATGAACTGTAAACATTCCAACAAACCTTTAACATGTTACTAATAAATACTTCATAATCAATATCAAAATTTGAATCAAAATCCAATTTGAATTGAAACCTAAAAAAAAAAAAAAAAAAAAAAAAAAAAAAAAAAAAAAGTTAAATTTTATAATTATTACTCCCTTGTCCCTTCCGATTAAATTAATCTTTTTTTTTTGAAAGGCTATTAATCTAATCGTCCGTTGATAGCGTAATTTGAACTAGTAATGCAACAATAATACCGTGACGAACCTGAATTTGTGTATCATCAAAGAGAAGAGAGGTAGAGAAAGCAGCAGATTGAGTTGAATTCCTGGAAATTAATAACGAAGATAAAGCTCTTCTAATTGCGAATAGCCTCTGCATCTTCAAAGAGAGATGAACTGGTAGAAGGTATAAAAATGGAGTACGTCAAATATAAAATAATTCAAGGAGCAGGAAACTTTGTTATGGAACTGCTGAGAAGAGAAAGCGTGGCCCTGTAAAATATTTAATGGGAGTTGCCGTCTTGAGTATAGGACGATAACCACGATGTATAAAATTATAAATGTATAATATATATTCAATAATTTGTTCATATCCGAACTATAAACATGCTCTTATTCATATTCAAATCCAATTAACAATGTTGCCCATGTGAATTGATATGCATCGTTGGGGGTGGGTTGGAGGCTTTATCCATTTTATTTTACGGGATATTGGGTTTGACCGTATTATAGAATAGCCCGTTTTGTGTTTGGCTAGCTACACTCTATGATCACTTATTAAAAACAAGGTAATCTCTATAATACTGATCGAGACACCCCTTTAACGTTGATGAATTAACTCCTTTAATATTAACCGAGTAATATACTAACAAAGTAACTCCTACAAAGACTGGCCACACAATATAGGCATGTGATAAGTCACATATAAGAATTTGTGATTATAAAATTGAATTTAGATCAGATTACAATGATTTAATACCTAGACTTTTATATCGATTATAAAAAAAAAAATTAATGCATATTAAATACTTTAACAATTCTATAAATCTCTGTAGAATCAGCTCATTGTAGCAATCTCATGCGATAAGATCGAGTATCATTAGATTTCAACACATAAAGTTTTATCATTAGATTTTGTGTTGAAAATATGAGCTCTGAAACCACTATGGCTTGCATGCCTGTGTTTTTAAAATAGTATTGATATGGTGACAACATGAATGTTTTGGGTATCAAACTATCAATAACAATACATTTAGGGGGCGTTTGGTTCAAACAATGGTATAGGTTTGGAATGAGGAATGAAACATGGGTGGTATGAGGTTGGAACTTGATACTTGATTTCATGTGTTTGGTTTTATCTAGGAATGATAGTTTTCCTTTTAATTTTAAACTAAAGGTATGGGTAACCTGGGGGTTGAGATATGGGTTTGAAAAATAAAATTTCTAGCAACAAACACAAGGTATGGATTTTGGTCATTCCAAACTCATACCTTATACCTAATATGCTTGAACCAAACATCCCCTTAGAGTAGTATTAAATTTCTCAAGTTATGGAGAAAGAGCACAATTTGACAGGAATATAACATACTTGTTGAAACCTTATTAGTGTATCACATTCCTAGCAATACTATAAATCTGCTATACCATGATTTAAAGGGAAAAAATATTAACAAGTGCTATTCTTAACAGATTTACACAAGGATAGACATTAGACAATTAATCGCCTTTATATATTCTCTTTTCTACAAAAGAACTATTGATTAGGACTCCCAAATTCGTCCAGCTTTTCTACAGTTTTATGACCAAGTATATTATTGATCAAGATTATAAAAGACAGTTATCCCAAATTCTGCATGTACATAAGAGTAATAGTATGACAGCAGCACATAATTGTTTAAATCGATAAATGGATCTTAACAGAAATGTCATAGCTTCAGTAGACACTAGCTACTATGAATTCTAAACACAAATTAACAAAACAAACCCATAAAACACTCCCCACATTTTTACACCAACAAACAAAAGCCATCAGCCTACCGCTGTAAACGTTGTGCCTGCAGGTTAACTACACCTGCTCTTGGTGAAAACCAAGTAGGCTTTAAATTCCCTGCATATTGAAGAAATGTGAATTTCGATAAGATCCTAATACTTACTACTCACTTACCCATATGATATATTAAGATGTGGCTAACTACCAAAATATTCAAAACTCAATTTAGAGTTACACGAATATAAAATTAAAGTCCCGAAGCAATTCAGTACTGCGGACAGAAACAGAAGATTTGATCTGCTCACAAACCCTAAATATTTACTCTCCGGGAGGTGCAACACCTTGCTTGAGCCTCTCCCTCTTCATCTTCTTCTTTGAAACAGGCTTCTTCTTCTTTGGTGGCAAGTTCTTCTGAGCATAGGTGTAAAGTACGTAGTTCCCTACTAGGAAGGTTAGTAGAAGTCCTCCAATAACCAACAGAACTATGAGGCCTGGATTGAAGCCTTTAGCTTCAACTTCGTTAACTGCCTGTTCACGAGCAAAACCAGTCTTAGAACTCACACCAATCATCATAAGTCTAGAGTCATGAAAGAAGGCTATACTAACAAGATATAGGAACATAGATGTATAAATAAACCACAAGCACAAAGATCAGTTCATACTTGCTGCATTTGCAGACTGAATAAGGAGCGAGCAAATTTTAAAAACCATAAAACAAAAGGAGATAGCTAGTACTACAATGAACTAACTATAAAAACCGCCATTGCGTTCATGTTCTTGACGGCTGACGCCCAAATGATATTTAGTACCCCTAAACACATAGGCTGAATATCACCCTCAGAACGCACACAATAGGCTGACACAATTAGCCTACATCTGATTTATTACTTCTAACCTCAAAAAATTTATATCTTACTAACGATGTAATAATGTATTAACACGAACTTAATAATGAAATGCAAACTAACATGAGTGCATTACAGCTTGCATTTCATTACAACCTTGGTCTTAGGATTACCAAACAAATCTTTGTTTGTTGTTCTGTCACAAGATATAGTCTAGGAAACAACTCCCTATCGTTGATCCCCTTGCAGCACTTTCTGATCTTAAAAGGAGAAATTTGGCATGCAAAACTCATTGAAAAGCCATAACACTGGCTGAATATCCACAAAAGATAATTTTAAAAAGAAAGTAAGATTGGTAAAGTGAACCTTTCAACACTCCCTATCACTTATTATATCTTGTTAAGAGTATATGTCCAATTGCAAAAGGGAATTACATTAAAGTTAATACAACTACCAGTCTACCAAAACCTATGTTCGCACTTCGTATTAATTGTTTAATATTGCAAGTTACATTAATTTCATAACTACCAGTTGTCTTCTTCGATCTGATTTAAAGTAATCCTAAAGTAATCGTCCCATAAAGGTATTAATGAGCTTCAAATCGGTTTATAATAAATTCTACAATGAGCAAATTAGCAGCATGAACAAATGACTTAATCAACTAAAATTCAATCATATCACATTGTTAATATATTTTTTTTTCTCAATTCCGACTTGCGAATTCAAATTGCAAACAATGATCTCCAAACGAAACAACCTCAAAATCACAAAATCCTCCAATACATACATCAAAATTCCTCAACAACATATTGGTTTTTATCCCTAAATTAACCAAAGAGGTCAAATTGACACGGGAAAATATACCCGATATATGACATTCAAATGTTTGCAATTCACATCAAATGATCAAATACAAAAATTCAACTTTGTTCAGATAATACGGGATCTAATTTAATTTTCTGAAGTTAACAAAAGCTTAAAAAAAATCAATCAAGTAGAAGAAAAACTATCAATTCTAAACACAGCATCTAATCAAAATTTGAAATCTAGCGCATAGCAAAAATCAACAAAAACAAAGCGAAATTTAAAATAAAAAATGCATGTAAAAATACAGAAGCAGAATAAAATTCAAAGGAGTAACAGTAATACCATGATCTAATCCTCCAAAGAAAGAGATCTTTCTCTGTACACCAAACCTGAGAATCAAAATCAAAAATCAAAACCTAAATCTGAATAACAATCGAAATAACAATAGAAAAAATTCAAAAATAAACATGGAGATCTAGGTTAATTGGAAGAAATTCTGACCTAAAAATTGGGGAAATTGAAAGAACAATTGAGATTGAGAGAAGTACTCCGTAATGTAAGAGAAGAGAGAGGAGGAGAGAGAATACTCTAGGCGTGGTTTGACGTGGGGCAGCCAATGAAAAAGCGAGTGAGATGTGTAGTGGGGTCGTCAAGGAGTGTGTATGTGGCAACACAATCCAAATTCGAGTAAGAGTAGTTGGCTGTTCAAACAAAATCCGGTGGGGAATTTAGTACTTGTAGCTAGACTGTGGACCTACTCAATTAGAGCAGGTGTCGCGGATGGTACGATAATTTGACACGAACTTGATAAGAACGTTGGAGAATTATTGATAGAATTTTGAGTTTAGCTTGAATTAAACCCGAACAAGTCGAATTTTATCTCATTTGACTCATTCATAATGTTTTCTACTACAATTAAGTTTTTTTAATCATTATAATACAGACTAATTAGCTATAAATCGATTTGAAATCAAATTACTAAATTTCCACCATGCTTTAAGGATGCTATGTATTCACCATTTTTTTTAGGAAATCTATTCACCATAATTTAAATTAATTTGTGGTTGGTGCAGCCGGGTGCACCATGCGCATGGTGCACCCGAAAGAACATTTAGTACATTTAAAAGAACATGGGTAAAAAATGAACATGTTTTTATTTTCTTGAAACTGCAAATCCATCACTCTCTTCTCCTGCAATTTCTCACTCCTCTTTCCCTTCCTATCACTTTCTTTCTTGCTGCCAATTTTCTCTCTCCTTTACACCATTATTTTCATCTAAGAATTTCAATGAAGGTCTCAAATTGATCTCACTTTGCTATCAATCTCGTAATACTGGTACTTCTTCTACTGTTTGGGTAAAAATCATTTTCAAAGTACTCATTTTCTCTATCTAGAACTTTTCTCTCTATCTTTTTCTATTTTTCAAAAAAAAATCAAAATAGCAAAATTGTTCATCTTCGGAGTGAAACTGATGTGTCTAATTTATATAGTATTTTACCCCGTCCCTTGGTCATAATTAGTAGTATTTTCGGCTCTTTAGAGCCACTTTTATTACAAATTAGTGCTTTCTAGTGTATTCGTAGATTTGGTTGACTTTTGTAGGGATTTGCACTTTTGGAGCATTTTCCCGAGATATTATGGAGTATTTACGATGATTGGGGAAGCACGACCAGTTTTTATAGCCCGGGGCTGGTTAGAGTCATCGAACCGGTGATTAAGGGCTTAGCATTTGAGATTTCGAGGCAATTGGACCGAGTATTCAAGACCCAAGGAGGATATTTGGTTTGGGCCGGAGTTACGAGCCCAAACGAGGAGTCCATGGTAGCCTAAGTGGCCTTGCCCGGCCAAGAGAGCTCCTGACCGAAGGCGCGCTCGGCCGACCGGGGCGGAGTAATGTAGCAGCAGCTGGCGCCCGAACTCGTGCTCGCCCGGGCACGAGAGATGTACTTGGGAGCAAAAAGGCGGGCCCGATCGGGCGGTGCCTCGCCCGATCTGGCGCGTGTCAGCATTAGGAGATTTTAAGTGTCGTTTAAGTTTGTTTTAGTTTAGGATTACTTGCTTAGTATAAATACGATTTTGTTAAGCAAGCTTAGTATCTCTTTTTACTCTTTCTTACTTCTTCTCTTAGATTTTCTCTCTCTACTTAGCTTTTAGATTAGTTTCTCTCTCTACAACTTTGTTCTTAATTCAAATTATTTTGGTTACGATTTCATCTACTTTAATCTCATTTATTTTACTTTAATTCTTTCATCATGTTTTCTTTGATTACTCTGTTTAGTATATATTTAATTATGTCTGAGTAGTTTCCTTTCTAGGGTTTGTGGGGATCCATAAATAATATGAAGGGGTAATTTATTGTTGTTGATTATCAATGCTAGATTAATTTCCTATTAATTGATTTTATGCTCTGTGACTAGATTAGGCCTGATCTTTTATGCATGAGTTTGACAATATTGATTCGACATTCGAGAGATGAGAATTGATGTTTAGGTCTAGTTTCAATATAATAGGCAGATTAATTTATAAATGATTAATTCTGTGATTGTAATACGTAGCGAAAGCCCTTTATGATCTGATTAGTCGATGCATTGATGTTTGATTATTATGTTTTACCCTGGAATATTATTTGTTGGTGAATCTATGCCCTAGGTCTTTTATTCATTGATTTTCTCTATTCTTATTCTTCTCTTCTTTTACTCTCCGTAGTTTAGTTCCCTTTTATAATAACAATTTGGTTACTTGATAATTTAGATTGCTTTTAATTAATTAGAAATAAATTGACTTGTTTCCTTGTGGGTCGACCCTTCTTCCTTATCTACATAGTTAGTGGATTTAGGTATTATTTTTTATTGGGTGATACGACTTTAGCCTATCAAAATTTGGCGCCGTTGCCGGGGAAACGGTTTTATTTTTATTTTCTCATTATTTTTGTAGTCTAGATTATCCCCTCTTGTCTCAGAGAGCGTTAGTTCTTTGAGGCAATTCTCATATTTGCTTTTAGTTCTTTTTTTATGCCCAGGTGTTCCAGATCAGGTTATATCCCATTCGATCCTGAGATCGAACGATCCTTCCATAGACAAAAGAATTTTTACAGGCAAATCCTGGCGGGTTCTGGTGATAATAATAATCGCCGAGACCCTCCAACTGATTCTAGCAATTCAGAGATACCTTTAGATCCAGAATCAGAGATGGCGATACCTAAGAAGCTCAGTGATTATTCGCAGCCAAAGCTTACAGATTTTCTGCACCTTACTCCCACTCCGGCTCTTGATGGGGTACAATTCGAGATTAAACCCCAATTTATCACAATGATAGAAAGGAAGCAATTCAGTGGAGCTAAGGGTGAAGACCCAAATCTTCATATTGCAGACTACTACCAGTATTGTAATATCATCAGGCAAGCTGGGGTCACACAAGACCAAATCAGGGAGATTCGCTTTCCTTTCTCTTTATGTGGAAAAGCCAAATTATGGTTTAATGGATTAAATAGAACTGCACTTGGTATAACTGACTGGGAGACTCTTGTTTTAAATTTTTATAATAAATATTATCCTGCAGAGAGAACAGTTGTACTACGTAGTGCTATTCAGAATTTTGCCCAAGAGGCCGATGAAACTCTATATGAGGCTTGGGAGAGGTTCAAGAACCTACAGAGAGAATGCCCCCACCATAATCTGGCACAATGGCAGTTGATCCAAGCCTTTTACAATGGGATTGGAAATTCATCTAGAATAATATTGGATTCTGCAGCTAGTGGGAGGTTTATGAACCTTAATGTTGATGATGCAAGTCAAGTTATTGAAGCTATGACAATACATAATTCCCAACATGGGAATCCCAGAGGCTTTGCTAACAAAGGGAAACATAGTGTCGACTCTGTATCCTTTTTACAAGCTCAATTAACCTCTATTTGCCAGAAATTAGATAATCTTAGTACTACAAATGTAGCTAATGTTTCTGCAATTAATAATAATGCTAATGAGGCTTTCTGTGAAAATTGTGGAATTGTAGGTCATTGGGAGCAAGATTGCAGGAGTTCTGTGGAGCAAGTCAATGCCTTTCAAGTTTATAGGCAGAATGACCCAGAATGGCACTACATTCTCCAACACCTACAATCCTGGGTACCAAAATCGTCCATATGTTTCCTACCGGAGCACCAATGTTCAAAATCCACCACCTCCACAAGAATCACAGGCGCCACAACAAACTCAGCAGAAATATTACCACCCCAATGCTGGCCAAAAGAACCAACCACAACAACCCTCCTCATCTTCCGACCCTACTTTGGTAGAAATTAGAGCGATGCTGGCTAGTATGTAGAAGCACATGGAGAGTAGAGATGCCCAAATTGATTCGATCATAGCACATAATAAAATTGTAGATAATCAAATTGCGCAGATTTCCGCTACTCTACAAGCCCGTCAACATGGAGCCCTGCCAGCACAGCCAACCAGGCCTATAGATCAAGCTTATGAAATTACTCTAAGGAGTGGTTCACACTATGAAGGGCCCCCTATGCCTAGAGATGATGAACCTGTTTTAATGAATAATTCTAATCTTGATTCCATTAAACCTGACAATATAGCTAATAGCCCTGCAGGGCTAAAGAGTAGTACTAATATTTCTGATAATACATTGCAGGTTACGACTCTAGGGAATGTAGCAGCTCCAGATAAGAGCAGTAATGCTCCAAAGCCAGTTATCAAACTTCCATTCCCCAATCGTCACTTTAAAAAAAAAATTGGATAAGCAGTTTGGTAAGTTTCTGGAGATGATTAAAGATTTGTAGCTAACAGTTCCTTTCACTGAATTAATTACACAAATTCCTGCATATGCAAAATTCATGAAGGAAATATTGACTAGAAAAAGGTCTATTAGTGAGGTAGAGACAGTAGCTTTCACTGCAGAATGTGGTGTCATATTTCAAAATAAATCTCTACCTAAACTGAAAGATCCGGGTAGTTTTTCTATCCCTTGTCATATTGGCAATCTAATGATTGATAGTGCATTATGTGATTTGGGTGCTAGCGTTAGTGTCATGCCATTGTCTGTGTGTTCCAAACTAAATATGGGTAAATTAAAAGCTACTAATATTACTCTACAAATGGCTGACCGTTCTTTTAAATACCCCTTAAGTGTTTTAGAGGATGTTCCTGTTAGAGTAGGTAAATTTTATATACCTGTTGATTTTGTTGTTCTTGATATGGCTGAGGATATGCAAACCCCAATTATTTTGGGTAGACCATTCCTTAACACTGCAGGAGCGATTATAGATGTGAGATGTGGCAAATTGACACTATCAGTAGAGGACGATAAAATTACTTTTAATTTGAATAATACCCCTAAAAGCCCCATGACAGAGGAGAAGTGTTTTAGTGTTAATGTGATTCATAATTATTCTAACAAGCCCCAAGCTCTTGTAAACGATCCCTTGTAGGCGGTATCTTGTGTTGCATCTTCTACAGATGAGATAGACAAATGGCAAAAGGAAGTTGATGCAATAGAAAGAGCCCTCTACATTGTCGGTCTTGGATTTGAAGATGAGAAGGTGGAATTAAACAAGCAAGCTATGGAAATTGAGCTTACAGTAAGTGTTCCGCCAGATCGAGTTGCAATTGCTAAATCTAGTGACAATTTGAAGTAACCATCGATCGAA